ATTATCATTTTCAAATACTTATAAACATAATAATTGTTAACTAAGTGAAACTGGAAAACTTGTGGCAGAAGTTGCTAATAGTGGTTAATTTTATTATTGTCTTTGTGAATAAGCAATTCCAAAGATTGGAAAAATATAGTTTGCATTTTAAATACTTAGTGGATCAAATTTTCATGTTGGAATAGGATTTAGAGACATTATGTAGAAATATAATTATTAGAATTGTTATTAAACTGGGTATGGTTATATAATTATATTATAATAGAACATATTTAATAAATAAAGATGGTTATATTTATTCACATCATAACAAAGATTTATATGAAAAAAGATTATCATTCATATTTACAAATAATGATATAATAATAATTGAAGTATGTATTGAACATAAATACATTAAATGGAGTAGATAGAATAATCCATAAGCAACATTTGTTGTAAATATTATATCGATTATTAGTAGTTGGATATAGATACATCATAAGAATTATATCCATGTGTAGGTGTTGCTCATAATTCTAAAATAAAATTATTGGATAATATAATATTTTGATATGAATAATATAAAATATATATATATAAGTAATAATATTATTATTTATACTGTCTAAAATCAAGAAGTAATCAGAACAATACAAATATATTGACAGTATTCACAAGTTAAACTCATATTTGTATCTATTCAGATCAAAGAAACTTAAATTTTACAAGAATTGAAACTTTTTTATGTGAAATTTCTGAAAAAATAAATTAGGGCTAAAGAGAAAAAGATTAATTTAGTTAAAAAAAGGTTTTTAGCTTAATTTTATCATTCGACAACATTTTTGAGTACATTTTTTTCATTTATTAATACAAAAGAAAAAGTTCAAAGTAGAAAGAAATATCTAGCCTCACCTTTTTTAGCAAATTTCTATAAAATGATTATAAAAATTATAAGAGTGTAAAATTGAAAAATACGACTAATTCCAAATTAATTTATATTTATTATTTTCGAGTTAGAACTCTATGCTTAGCAAAACCAAGATGAATTTATTTACATTGCTTTTATGAATATTACTCAGTATCAATTAACTAAGTGAATAAATTACTCAGTAATCACACCACACAATTATTTAAAAAATAATAAATAGATAAATTCATCATTATCTAAATCACTAAAAAGAATAATAGTTAATGTCTTTTTAAGAATTCTCTAGATTCAAAAGAACTATTCATTATAAGGAAGAAGGATAATTTTTATTTTTTTATATTTATAAAAGAGTGGTACTGAATATTTCAAAAAATTCTTAACTCTAAAGTATAATCAACTTTTGAATCCAATAAAATTCTTCTAATATAAAATCCAAAATAATCAATAAAAGAAAAATAATAGATAGATTTTTCTTATGAAATAAATAAATTAATAAATAACTCACTTAATTAAAATATGTAAGAAGATTATCTACTGAAGATTCCTTTATTAAAATCGCTTAAAAATCTTATGCTTACGTTAAAAGATCCTGATCAAATATAGAATAAAGGTGTTAGTTTTTTATAAATAAAATATTTTTAAATATGTTATCAATTATAATGTTTGATTAATAGGATTATTTTGCAAAGACTCAAAAGTGTTTAGATCTTATCATCAATCCTTCTATAAGCTAGATATCTCGAAAAAAGAGGATGTTAGACTCTGTATATTATTATAAAGATTTCAAAAATTAAAGCTACTTTCTATTAAATGAAATTGCCTTTTGACTATAATGATCCAATATCACTTTAGTTAGTTATTATCTAACCTAACTATAGAATAATATCAATCTAAGAAATCACCACATATAAATAAGTTTTTGAATCAATTTAAAAATAACAATTATTATAAAAGAGATAAAGGGTAATTTAAATCGATGAACTAGAGGAACAATATTTGTAATTTAAGTAATTGTTGGCTTTCTAAAATTTGATTTGTAAAAATTTTTAATGTTAAGATCTAAGATTCAAAAATATTTTTTATATGGGTAAAATCTGAATTTATTTGAAGGGCATATATCTACATGAGTATTTATAATCCATAAGATAAAAAGGAAAAAGATTTATTTTGAAAAAGTGTCTTAGTGTTCATAACAACCTCTTTTTTTATAAAGACTTCATTTTAGTATTGTATTTATTACGCCAACAGCCAAACTAAAATGTAATGGGGAACCTGATCAAATTAAATAAATATCTAGCATACTGATTTACAACTTTATTAACATCTTGAATCATTTGACATAATCATAAAATACTTTTTTGTTCTAATTATTTTCCTAAAGGTAGCTTCAATAGTAGCTACATAAATCAATTTATGATAGAAGTTATGATTTATATTTAATTTATTATTATCAAAACTTAACCAAACAAAATGTGGAATTCTTGATAGAAAAAATTGAATTCAAATTACAAATATATAAGGTGGAATGAATTGCATATAAGAAATCAATAAAGAAGCCCAAAAGGATTATGATTCAATCAAATAATTAAAAGCCTGAATATGATTAATTATTATGAAAAATATAAATTTTTAACTTGTACATCTAATATATATAGAATAAAATATAAGTAAGTTAAAAATAGTTAGTATCTAAAATAGTTATTTCATAATTGATAATTTATAAATGCAGGATAAAGAATATATATATTCATTATATGACAAAAGTAATTTATAATAAATTTTGCTTCTGATTAAATTTAATCTGAAAAGGACTAAATTATAAGTAGGATTATTAAACAACTTAATGAAATTATACTCTGTTTTCTTTTACAATAATGAGAAAAGATTTTATGTTAGTTTTTAGATAATATCATTAATAAGGAAAATAAAGATAATCATTATTTTAGTTTCTTTGTTTAATGGAGATCTCTATTGTGGAAAAATAGATATATTAGAATTATAAACAAATAATTTATTTAAGGTTTTTTTCTATAAAAATTATATTTATTTAAAGAGTTTTTCATTAATTTTTCTGAATATTTCTTAGCATAATCTCTCTTTATAAATCTTCATAAATAAAAAGAATTTGGAACAACATTAATTAAAATTTACAAGTTTTATTGATTTTGGAGAAATAACCTTTACTTTTTGATCTTTTTAATATTATTAAATAATTCAAATAATAAAATTCATTTTAAAAACTTGTAATAAAATAATTATGTCATAATTCATTTTGGAAAGAAAATTTCCTAATAGAAATAAACTATTAATTGATGAATTTGCTAATATTTATAATATCTTTTTTTATCTGATTATAATCTTTTCGAAAATTCCATGTCTAAAAATATAATTTAGTATTTTTCAATATGCACTTAAAAAATATTTCCCATTCAAAAAAATGTTTCATCATTTGGCAGATTGCCATTTCTGCGATTCGCATATTCTTCAAATATAATTAAATAGCTATAAATAAATATACTGGGTTCTATTATTTTTGATATATTATCCTCCTTTATAATTTTATTTTTTATTTTATTCTTTGATTTGATCATTCTACCAGTTATCCTTTGTTGTTTACTAAATTAAGAAATATTTGACATCATGTAATTGATTTCTTGATATTTACTTTATTATTCATTAATTATTACAAAAACCTTGAAATACTTTCCTACCAAATAAATCCTAATTTATTTTTATTTATAATTGTTCTCTTAAACAATCAACTCTAACCATCCTATCTGCTCATCAATAATTTCCTTATTGTTTATTTAAACCAAGGATGAAAGAATTCTTTACTCCTGCCATTATCTTATAACACTTTGACTAAATTCTAGATAGCAAAATCAGCAAATCTTATTTTTGGTAAGATGTTAACTGAAAACCTTTGTTATATATCTATAAGGTAATATTCTTCTCATAATTACATTTTTTTTTCATTTATATGTCACCATTTTTCTAATCTCTTATGAGATATGAGTTAATATTAAAACTTAGAATAATTATTTTTTCATGAAAAATTCATAATAAATCACAAAATGATATATAATAATCCAGCAAATAGAGCTCTGTGAATTAAAGTATTAACTAGATAACGGTTATTAGAGATCTTGATTTTACCTCCTTTTTGCCTATATAAAGGATAATGATGGGCTTTCAGCGAAGCTAACTAAAAAATTTTTGGCTGTATTACATAGAGTAGGGCTAATGGCTACCTACTATTGAGACTATTATCACTAAGATGATAATAAGGATCATAGATTAGTTATATTGATGCTTTCCTCTTTGAAAGTGGAGCGATACTAAATCTATCAAGATTATGTCTAATAGAAATGGAAGATTCCCCTGTGGAGATCAATAAATTGTATTATGCATGAAGGTTTATGTACATGATACTGGATTGGTGTTTTTCAAACTTAAAATCCTAGACTAGGGATATGATGTAAAATACTTACAATAGAAAACTTTTGGAGGGTGTTCTATTGGAATATATCTAAACAACCTAATCTTTTAAAGTGTCTAAAGAACAAAAAGTTAGTAAAGATATAGGTTTATTGTAAAATTTATTGATGAATTGGAGGGAGAAATCCTGATAGTAAAGAAAACATGAAAATGATATATCTACTGTTTCCCTGGAATGTAGAATTTTATATTTATTACAGATGTTTTGTATAAACTACACCTTAAGTCTATCCATCAAAAGCCTCAAGAGTTAGTTTAAAGGTTGATTTGGTAAATGTCATTAAAAAGTTTGAAATTTATTAATGAGAGGGGGAGAAAAGTTAAGTAATTAAAAAAGAAGGAAGACTATTTGTTACTATTAATGTTTAAAAGGAGATTAGAAATGAAAAATAGAAGGAATTGATTTATGAATTAAAGAAAATTAATAGAGAGTGAATTATTACTCTTATAGCTTAGAGATTAATAGGGAGGAAATAAGGAGATGAAATAGCAGCCAAAATATCTAGCGGATAGAGACTTTTCTTACATGTAAGATTTTCTTAATTCTGGAAGTTTTAGATTTAATTTTTGAGATATAAAATCTAAGAGTTAAGATAAGTAATACTTGAGAGAATGGTTACTTTAAGAACGCTATATTGCCTTATGTTAGTAGAAATTGAATATCTTATATTTTTTAGATGATCTTTAAAAGTAGTAACAGTAAGAAGGGATTAATAGTTAGTTTGAAATTATATGGAGAGCAAATCAAAGAATTTGGCTGCAGTCAAGTGCAGATTTAGTATTAGGAGGAAGATTTAAGAGTTGAGCTATGGTGGCCACTTGTTTATTAATAACAGCAAGAAATCTATGAGAGAAATCGTACTTTTAGGAAAAGATTTCTCTTTAAAACACTTTATAATTAAATTTCAGAAGAAACTTACTGAGTAGTGCTTGTTGCCAACTATAAAAAGATCTGTTACCTTTCAGAAGAATTTGTTGAATTTGCCAATTAAAAGGATTTTTCAGTAGTATTGGTAGTAAATTCATTCTCCCTTTATCTATTATTGTCGAAAGGAGAAAATTAAAAAAAACACTTAATTGGTAATGATCTAAACATTCGCATCAGATAAAGTAATTTATATTAAGTTTGAGGTAATTAAATGTTGTTAGGGGTGCGATTATTTTTCAAGTCAGCTATCAACAAGTAGTGAAGATTAATGTTCTGATTTTATTGGCAATAAGAAAATGCAAGGCTTTTCATAAATTCAAAAGCATTTACAATTCAATAAGATATTTTGATCTTTCAAAAAATGATAGATAGGTTAGTATACTTTAATTTCTAAATATTTGAATCTTCATTTTTCTTTATTTATTCAAGTTCTTAGTTACATATGTCTTAGTTATGTAAATAGTCTTTTTAATCCACAATTACATTATAATTTTATCATATTAAGAAAATAAAGTACAGAAACCTTTCACCAATTATATTAGATATTATGAAAATTTAGATTTTTAGTAATATCTTTTTAATTTAAAATTTTTTTTCTGGTGCCCAAATATTTGTTATTAATTTGCATTTCTTTTAAATACATCAAAAGTTAAGTAAGAATTTATAATTGAACCTTATTAAATTCAATTTATAAATCTTCCCTTTTTTTTTTGGTGATCATATATGAATTAGATTATACATTGTAAAGAAACAGAGGTTCATTTTCATTAAGCATATTCCTTTTTAGCATGATTTTTTATAATAATTATCTGTCAACAGAATTGTATGCATCAGACTTATTAATGAAGATTAAATATTACTTTTTTTTTTCTTATTTATTCTAAATTAGTATTTCAATTATATTTGTCACAAGAACAACATCAACTGCTTCTATATCATGTTAAACTATTTCTATTAATATTTTTGCTAATTTTCATTCCATTAACTTTTTTAAATGACTATAAATAATTATAGGTTGCAGATCATAATTTTAGTAATTTGAGGATCATTTTTTATTTAACATCTATAATCTTGTATATAGACAATATGTATTTTTTATAAAAGCTTTTAGATTTAGATTAATGAAATCAAAGGATATAGAATTATGATACAAAAT